CTTGCATGGGTAATTACTGATGAGGCTTTCCTAGTTTTCCTTAATACACCTGCTATTTTTCCCATATGTACTGAGCTGTATGCTGTTGGATGTTGGCTAACACCATTACTTTCCTCTGACAAGCCAAGATGAAGTAGCTATAAACAAGGAGGAAGACTAAGGATTGTGTTTCATCCCCATGTTGTTTTTCCTGTTTGATCTTGGGTAGGCCTCAACCACGATGGGGCGAGAATTACAGTGAATAGGTTGCTTTTCATGTGATTTAAGATTTATTGGCTCAGGCCTGGTTCAGTTAGAAGGTAAGTCTCAAGGGCTGAATGGTCAGGGACTGGTCAGCACAGTCCCAGGCCCCAGGAGAGTGCCCTTCCTTCTACTTTACTAGCATGTGTCTGCCTGTCCTTGATGCCAGCTGCTGCAGCCTGTTACCAATGCAGAACGTTTGTAAACAGCTAGGGAAGGTAAGTGCTACTCTGGAACCATAAAGATCCAGCTCTGCACAGCTTACTTGGAACTAGTTCTTCCCCTTTTCTCTGTGATAAAGATTTGGTGGAAATTGAGTGTTTAGTTTATTTCTACAATTTGGATAGGAATTCTGTTAACAAGTTGGTCATGATTTAAGATTCTGATCATGTCTCAGTGGAGTATTATTTCTGATCCTATTTTGGAGTATAATTTTTTAAATTAGTATTTTAGAAAGCTTTCCACTTCTTGAATCTTGGTTATGTTTTCCACTTATAAGCCTATTTTGTATTCCATTTATAATTGAGAATCTTGTGTACCTCATAAAGAATCTGTCTCATTGAATTCATGTACTGTGCTGAGCTTTTCTTTCTTATGAAGTGATGTCATGCTATTATCAGTTCATTTCTTTATTTGATTATAAACAAAGTTAAATACCTTTCCTCATTATAGGAATAAAATTATAAAAATAAGCATTAAGACAACAGATACTAGTTTTTAAAGATTTATTTTTAAATTTTTTTGTTGGAAAATCAGATATACAGAGATAAGGAGAGACTGAGAGGAAGATTTTCCATCCATTGATTTACTCCTCAAGCGGCTGCATCTGCTGGAGCTGAACCTATCCAAGGGCAGGAACCTGGGGCCCTTTCTGGGAACCTGGAGCCCTTGCAGGGTCCCAAGGCCTTGGGCAGTCCTTGGCTGCTTTCTCAGGCTACAAGGAGGGAGCTGGATGGGAAGCAGGGCCGCCGGGATTAGAACTGGTACCCATATGGGATCCTGGCATGTACAAGGTGAGGACTTTAGCTGCTAGGCTACCATGCCGGATCCAACCGATACTACTTTCAAGAAAGTCAGTGGCTACACTGACATATTTAGCAGACATTTCGGCAAAGGTCTTAATGAAAAGAAAATTCAAAATACCAGATGCTTTAATTATATAAATTGAACAGATTTTAAATATCTCAAGAGACAGATTTGGGAGTACAGTAACATTCCTTCCTGCTCTCATTCCATCCCCATCTCCGTATGTTTTAATTTTTCCCTAACTTTCTTTTCAGTTTGCAATCACAGGTTTAATACTCCATTAGGTAAAGATACTAGTACATAACAAGTAGAAAAACAGGAACCAAAGCACCCTGCTCTTTCTTGGGCTGTCCACAGCAATAGAATCCCAGGGTGACTGCCTCCCCTCTCACATGGGTGTGAAGTGAAGTTAGACAAATGTGGTGTGAGTTCACTGTGCAAACCACACAAACATAAGCATTTCATGCGAGGAGACTGTAGAATGGAGATGAGCACAGACAGGGGATGGTGTGGGAGGATAAAGGAAGAAGCTGCCGACCGTCCATTGCAGGGAGGGGGCTGCACCCCAAGCAACCTGTGAACGTGCGCTACGAAGAGTTGAAGCTTCACCAAGAAAATGGAAAGTGAATGAAGACAATGGTTGCCCTGGTGTGAACGGCACAGCTTTTTGTGTGCATGTATTGAAACATCATACTGCAGCCCATGCATGTGTGCATTTGCTGTGTCAGCTAGTCTAGAAAGCACATTTTCAGAAAGGAAGCCTTCCTGGGTGAGAGAGTGCAGGAAGGTTGTGTACTGCTCCCCAAGTCTGCCTTGCCCTCTCCCCTGGGGTGCCGGTGAGACACTTCACCCCTTTGGTGGGTTTGTAATAGCATTATTGCAAAGTAGAACAAATTATTCCTTGAAATGCTGCCATAACTAGCACCTTTGTTGATAACAGAACAAAATCTTTTTTGTTCCGACACTGCTAGGTTTTAAGTCAGGTAACTGGGCTGAGGAACAATTGAGAATTGGAGAGATTTACTACCAGCAAACGAGCAAACTTACATTTTATCTGGAGGTGCATATTCACACTATTTCCTAAGTGTCTAATTCTACCTTATGCAAAGAGTTTTATTTGGCTTCTGTGTGTTTAAATTGAAACAGCAGGCTTGGGCAGCAATTCCGGAATAACTCTGGGCCCAGTGAGGAGACCCGGCTGCTGTGGCACTAGTTGGTCCTGAGTGGGATGTTTCCTCACATCCGCCCTTTTTCCCAATTCCATCTGCCTGCTGCCCTCTGTAACTGCTTTGATCTCTCCTCAGGCCACCTTTTCCTGTGGGTCTTTTTATTTACCGATGATTGCTTTTTGACAGACACTCGAATTTCAAGTTAAAACTCGTTGGTGATGTTGGAAGAGCGCATTGATGAGGTGTGAGAAAAACGAGAACATGGGAAAGCTCAGGTTTCTGAGTTTCTGTTTCAGCCACTAAGCAGTTTCCATCTGGCCACAGGAGCACCCCGAGCTCCGGAAGTTCTGGGGTCTGCGAACCTTGACAGCCTCTGGAATCAGACCCCGCTGCAGGTTGCTCCATTCTTCAGTACACTGGGAAGTAAACGGAAGAAAGACTTGACTTGCTGCTCGGTTTTAGGCCCACATTTGCCATGTGTGAGTACCTGCTTGCCCAGTTATGAGGAAGCAGTTCACCAAACTGTAGGTGTGATACCTGCATATAAAACACACGGGTCGCTGTGAGTGCCCTGAAATAGAGGGCCTTCAGCCAGACCCACATAGGTGTCCTGAAATAGGGAGACTTCAGTCAGACCCACAGAGTGGATCAGCCAGCTTAGAAGACACATTCTATTCCCTGAGTTATGTCCATTTCTAAGGAAGCTGTCAGATAGTTCAGGGGTACTTTATTTAAACCTGTAGGACAGCTCAGGGAGTACCTCATCACCGCTTGGGGAGCAGTGAAGGGTCAAGTGATTCCACAGTGCGTTTTATTTTCTTTTTTTAAAACTTATTTTATTTTATTTTATTTTTAAGATTTATTTTATCGGAAAGGCAGATGTATAGAGAGAAGGAGAGAGAGAGAGGAAGATCCTCCATCTGATGAATCATTCTCCAAGTGGCCGCAACGGCCGGCACTGCGCTGATCTGAAGCCAGGAGCCAGGAACCTCCCTCTGGGTCTCCCATGCGGGTACAGGGTCCCAAGGCCTTGGGCCATTCTCGACCACCTTCCTAGGCCACAAGCAGGGAGCTGGATGCGAAGTAGAGCTGCCGGGATTAGAACTGGCATCCATATGGGATCCCAGTGCGCCCAAGGCAAGGACCCTAACCACTACGCTATCACGCTGGGCCCCACAGTGCATTTTCTAGAATAGTCTTTGCTTCTGTTTAGGTAAATGGTGTTGATAAGAGGCTGAGCAGGCAGCTAGTTTAGGATCACAACCCCAGTCTTGTGTAACCTCATCCACCCACTTGACAAGTGACTGCTACTTAGGGGATCCTTCCCTCACCTGGTACCTGAAGGGGCAGTGTTATGCAGCTACCCCCTTTTCAAGCCCCACAAGAACCCAGGCCAAGGAGGGTCTTGGATTCTTGCTCTCTGTTTCGGGGGAGGTGAAGTGAGGTAGATAGAAACTTCCTGCCTAGCTTTCCCTTCCTTGGGGGGGGGGGGGGGGGGTGTGTGTGTGTGTGTGTGTGTGTGTGTGTGTGTGTGTGTGTGTGTGTGTGTGTGTGTGTGTGTGTGTGTGTGTGTGTGTGTGTGTGTGTGTGTGTGTGTGTGTGTGTGTGTGTGTGTGTGTGTGTGTGTGTGTGTGTGTGTGTGTGTGTGTGTGTGTGTGTGTGTGATTTCCTCACTTTCTAAGTAAACTTTATCACTTTGTAAGCTGAATCAGTTCTTGCACCTGAAACGTTTTTTAAGAAAGAGGCAAGAGCCTTAAGGGAATAGTTGCTCCTACCTGGCCCCCAATAGCATGCAGACCGTTAGTTCCTCCTCACCTCACACAGGCCACTCTGACCCTGTGACCACACAGACGTCCTTGTGAACTGTTGAAGAGTGAAGGAAAGGGAGTGAGGAACAACGTCAAAGCTTGCTTTGGTTTAGAAGACAATTCTTCAGCTGTGAAGCCCACGGGCTTAGGGCCCATCACTGTGTGGTCTCAGGTGCTAGGAAAAAGAGAAGTCCACCTGTGTGTCCTCCAGCAATACTAGCTGCTAGAGCTCCATGTTGGTGATTAATCTTTGCTGCTCTAAAATTTATTAAAAATTATTTTGTTTTATTTTGACTGGAATTTTATGTATTTTTCATCAGAATGGCAGATCTACAGAAAGGCGAGAGAAAGATCTTCCATCTGCTGGTCTCCAAATGACTGCAACAGTAGGAACTGAGCCAACCTGAAGCCTGAAGCCAGGAGCCAGGAGCTGCTTCTGGGTTTCCCACATTGGTGCAGGATCCCAAGGCCTTGGGACATCCTCTGAGGCTTTCCCAGGTCACAGCAGGGAGCTGAATAGGAAGTGGAACATCCAGGATACGAACCAGCATTCATATGGGATGCTGGCAGCCCAGCTCACTGAGGAGTGTGTGATAAGGGGACTGTCTATAGATGTGCAGGCAGAGCTGGAACAAGCAGGTGCTCTGCCTTTCCTGGAGCCCCTGTACATGTGTGTTGGCAGGAGGAGGGGAGGACAGTGTGATCAGAGGATGCACCAGTGTAATTGCCAGGTCAGGAAGGAGCTGCTTCCCTTGGGCCCTGAGCTTGGCCGCTTCATCCTGACATGTCCAACACAGAGTGGTGTCCGGTAGATGCCTGGACTGCCCGATTAAAAATTATAGCTCACTGTTTACAAGAATACTTATTCTTTGTATTATAGTAGTTGAAGATATTTAGACATGCATATTTGTTAGCAAAATTATTTTGTTTCTGGATAACCGAATGTTTAGATTAAGCTGTCTTTTATTAGTTAATTCTTTTAAGGGTAAAATTTTCACTTGTAATAAGTTATCCTTTTTGACATTAGTTTGAGATCTGTTCTTGTGCTTATATGCAGTGTGCTTGTAAGTTACTTGTGGATGAAACAACGTAAGATCAGCATTTATCACTAGTTGTTCCCATCAAGAGGAGCTATGTATTGGAGCTCACTTTCTGTGCTGTGTGTAACATGCTGTGGGGACAGAAATGGACATGTGGGCCACGGTGATGGACTGACTCTGGAAGGCCCAGGTGAGGTCAGCTTGTTTGGGGAGGCTTTGATGTGTACTGCTGTGAGGTTTACAGGGGGCCTGAGAATGAGGAGGTGCTCTCTGCTCTCTCTAGCTTAAACTGGAGAATCACCCTCCCCCTTGGTAAGCTGTCAGCCATGGGTTCCTTCTGGGCCCTCTGCAGTGTACATGCTGGAATCTACCTGACTTTTTCTTGCTGTCATTCCATATAACAGCTTGGGATTGAAATCTCAAAGAACTAAGAATTTTTATGCTTTTGTTGTACTTACATTTATTTAGTTTTTAAAAACCCATCCTACTGCATTCTGAAGTGCGGTAGCCCAGGGTTCCTGGTGTCACTGTCAGTAGATGGGTGTCAGAGGGACTTAAGGACATCTGTGCAAGGGCACCGTGTGTGATCTGCTCTGGTGTCCCTCCCCTCAAATAGAGGAGGGGTTTTAGAACCAGGAGCAAGGACCTCAGTGTTTCTCAGATAGAGTGACAGAGAGGAAAGACAGAGATCCTCCATCTGCTGGTTCACTCCCTAAATAGTCACAATGACCAGGGCTGGGCTGTGCCAAAGCAAGTACCTGGAACTCCTGTCTCCCATGTGGGTGTCAGGGGTCATGCACTTAGACCATCAGCCCCTGTTTTCTCAGGTGCATTTGCAAGGAGCTGGCTCAAAGTGGAGCAGCTATGGCTCAAACCAGGACTGCAGTGTGAAATGCCTGCATTGAAGGCAGTGACTTATATTGCTGTCTTGTGTCTCCACAGTGGCTTCTTACCTACTCTTGGAGCTTTCACTTGTTGACTCTGGGGCCTGGGAGTCTTGATTGTACTCCTCCATAGGAGGGCATTTGTTTCCAGCTGAGACTGCCCACATGGGCGCTCTGGGATCCAGAGCTGGAGACAGGTGCAGAGTGTGGCTGGGGCTTGTCCTTGGCAAGGTGGCCTACAGGAAGACTCCTGCTGAAGTGAGGAGATTCCTGGGCTCTTGGCTTGTGGCTGAGGCTGCTGAGCCTGTGCTGAGTCCCATTGCAGAGGAAGGAGCCGCCTGTCCTAGCCCTGCAGACAAGGCTGGCCACTGCACCCAAACCCAGAAGGCCTGGGCTTCCCTGGTGTTTTCCCACTGATGCCTGGCTTCCAGGTCCTATGCACATAATGAGATTATAGTAAATCTCTGCTGAGAGACTTGGTGAATGGCAAAGGAGGCACTGCTTCTGATTTCATATGCCTTGTTACATAGGAAGTAGATGCAACAAGGAAGTACCTACTCAATGTCCAGCTTCTTTTAAGATTGCTCCAGGGACCTGGCTCCAGGGCCCTAGTGGCTAGTCTTTGCCTTCCATGCGCTGGGAACCCAATTTGGATGCCAATGGATGCCGATTTGTGTCCTGGCAGCCCGGTTTTCCATCTGGCTCCCTGCTTGTGGCCTGGGAAGGCAGTCAAGGACTGCCCAAGGCCTTGGGTCCATGCATGCGCCTGGAAGACCCAGAGGAGGCTCCAGGCTCCTGGCTTCAGATTGGCTTAGCTCTGGCTGTTGCAGCCACTTGGGGAGTAAGTCATTGGGCAAAAGATCTTCCTCTCTGTCTCTCCTCCTCTCTGTATATTTAACTTTCCATTAAAAACAAATAAATCTTTTTTTTTTTTTTTTAAAGATTGCTCCAGAGTTTTGCTTCCCATTTCAGGATTTCTGTTATGACAGTGATGTGTCAAACATTTTCATCTGCAACATGAACTTGAATAGTATTACTGGAGTACTGCATGCAGTTCACTGGACTATAAATATACTTCATTTCAGATATTAAAGTTGGTTGGTGGAACTGATCCCTTTGTTCTCCAGCATGTTGTTAGGCTGCTTATGTCATAGCCTAGAAGTCCACCAGAAGGCCTTTGGCCCACAGGGGCCTAGCTGTATACCCTGACTTGTTGTCCTGGGTCATTTGCCTGGTGTTTGTCAATGTTGTCGTCTTCCCGGGGGTAGTTGATCCTTAAGCTACTTGGCCAATCCCATTTTTATTTTGCATCCTGTGGTCAGTGCATGGTCAGCTACCTTGGCAGAGCTTCCCTGTGCATATGGGTGAGTAAGCTGTGGTGCTGAGGTGGCCTCAGCCAGTGTCTGTTACATCTCGGTTTCTGAGCTTCCCTTTCTCATTTGTGAAACAAGTTGGCTGGCTTGTTTTCATCCTAGAATGTTGCCTTTTGTTTAAATAGATTTTGGTTTGTTGGTGGCTTGTATGTAGGATTGGTTTATTTGCCTTTTGTTTCCCCTGCAATCATGACTGAGGACCTATCTACCAGAGAATCTTCTTTGCACTGAATGGACACGTGAAGGATGTCTGAATCTTCAGGGGTCCCGCTGCCCCTGCTCTTTCAGAGTGGCTCATTGCGGCAGCAGGCTGAGGTAACTCTTGGCCACACGTCACATGCGGTATATAGAAAATAACTTTCTGAGAGGTGTCTGGGTCTGCTCACCTTACTAGGTGGTATGGAAACCTCATTGTGGAGGTATCCAGATATCACAGGGGAGATCTCATACAGCCAGGATCCAGGTATCACAGGAAGGATCTCATACAGCCACAAACCACATGTCACAGGAGAGATCTCGTGCAGCCAAGATCCACATGTCACAGGAGCGATCTTGTACAGCTAGGATCCAGGTGTCATTGGGGAAATCTTGTACAGCCCAGATCCAAATGTCACAGGAGAGATCTTGTACCACCAGGACCCACATGTCATAGGAGAGATCTTGTACAGCCAGGATAAATGTGTTACAGGAATGACCTCTTACAGCCTGAATCCACGTGTCAGAGGAGAGATCTACTGTCAGAATCCATATATCATAGGAGAGATCTTGTACTGCCAGGATAAATGTGTCACAGGAGTGATCTCGTACAAGTAGGATCCATATGTCACAGGAGAGATCTCATACGGCCAAGATCCATGTGTCACAGGGCAGATTTCATACAAGCAGGATTCATGTGTCACAAGAGAGATTTTGTATAGCAAGCATATTCCCAGTTTGGATCTCAAGTAATAATATCCTCATAAGTAACATTTTCCAGTTTTCTAGGAGGTTACTTACCTCCCTCAAAGGTAGGAAACTTATAGGATTGGGTGCTGCTGGTAGACGCGGGAATTGTACCCAATGTCTTTCCATTTCTAACTTAATGAGATTTTCAAAACTGTGCTTTGTTGTCCTTCTCACTTCTTCTATTATACTTTTATTTTTTTCAAACCAGAAGCAATTAATTATGTTTAAGTTGGAACCAAAATGCATGTTATGATGGTAACCTGGCTGAGGTGACACTAGATTGCAGGATGATACACGTGTGGTTTGGCAAATGTCCATGGTCAAATTCAGAAGATACAGAGTGCCCCAGGACAATGAATCAAAGCAATCCCAGAGCAAAGGCAGAGTGCTTTTTTCACCTTAGAGGACTTCACACATTCCTGTGAGGTTAGGGGTGAGTTGTGCAGCTGGTTAAACTGCTGCCTATGACAATAGCATTCCATACTGAAACTCTGTTTCTGATCCAGCTGCCTGTGAGTGCCCCTGGGAAAGCAGCAGAGGAAAAATTTTAAGTCTGTGTAGTTCCTTAATATGAATTTCTAAGAACTTTTTCTCTATCTTGAAATTTTATTTTGACCCTGGCTGGGTCCTGTGCCCAGGGTTGTCTTCAGGACAGCCTCAGGAATATTCCTAGACACTTAATAGCCATGGGTGAACCGTCTTCTTGGTTCCAGATCATGTTGTGTGCATGTGTTTGTTTTTCTTTGAGCACAGGAGATTTAGATAAAGCATCATAAAGCATTTATTTTATTATTATTATTTCTTTTTTATGACATGGTTTCATAGGCTCTGGGATTCCTCCAGCCCCTCCCCATGCGCTCCCCCCATGTTGGATTCCTCCACTTTGTTCCTGTAGTACAGTTCATATCCAGGCCTGATTCCTTCGTTGTGAGCATGTACCATGCATAGAGTCCAGCCTCTTATTGTCCAGATAGTTTCAACAGTTTTCTTGTCAGACCATCCCTGATCTGAGAGTAGAGCTGGCAGAATATCATTTCCTTCAATGAAAAGCCACAACATAACATTAACAGCAATTTACAACATCATGGAGTTAATTGACATGGTATTGAGTGAACAGTATGTTGGAAAATGCAAGTTCTTAACCACAACCTGTGACTACGTCATTGACATTTTCAATTTTAGCTTATACACAACCGACTGCTATACTCCTTAAAATGGAGTACAGCTGTCTTGTGTCTATTTTCAATTTTATATTTAGCAGTTTATGGTATTGAAACATGATTCAGCTGACCTTAGTGAATTTTAGGATAGTCCAAGCAGGCTTATAACTCTAAGAAGGTATGTGTTAGCAATTGAGGCACAGAACAGTTTTAGGAGGGGTGTGTAGAGAAATCTTCAATATATTAGTGAGGAATAACAAATCTTTGTGTCGTACCTAATAAAGTTTATGTGAGGCCAAGCTGACCATTTCTTCTCTGTTCTCAGCTTTCGTTATTTGTCTCTGTCTATCTGATCTAATTTATTTTGGGGGGGAGGCTTTGGAGCAACCCTGATGGTCATTCCAAGAGAGGGTAGGGATCCGAAGTAGGAATTAAGTAAGGACCAGAGAAAGCTCCTCTCCTGGGACCTGAAGGAGGTTTGCTGTTCTGTTTCTGAGGACCACTCAGGGCTCCTGGCTGTTATTCCAATGACATTAGATCCTGTGAGGAAGGATCTGGGCATCTTCCATCCTATGTGGGAGATCTGAATAGGAGTGGATGACCTCAGAGTTCTCGGCCTACGAAGGTGCTCCAATTCCCTGTGGTCTCCTTGGCTGTTGGGATATAGCCCTTGATGCCTGTACTGACAGTCCTAGGTGAGGATCCTGGAGTCTGAGGGTTGGGATACAAGCCTCCTCCTGTCCTCCTGTCCTGCTACTCAACTCTGGGGTCCCCCCTGCTCTGTGCATATGACTTCCTGTTAAGAGGCTGTCAAGATCGTTCTTGAAT